AGGAAAGGGAAGCCTTTTATATAAAGGATCCAAAAAAGGCTCTCCAAGGTTTTTTTGACCGAGAAGGTATGTAAACAAATTCTGATCCTGCCAATAAAATGTATCCATAGCAGTGTTGTTTTCTAGATCTTCAGGTATTTAGAAATGCTGTATTTTATCTGCTGTCCTCCTTGTTCAATACTTGTCCTTGTGATCAGTTGCTTCAAGTTTATTTTGAAAATAGTAAAAATCTTGTTAGTCTTTCTTCTCATCTTGGTAAAAAGGAAGTATTTTTTCCTGACTCACCTCATTCTTCTCTAAAGATCCTGGACTTTGGTGGTAGGAGATTGACAAGAGGCAGGTGAATATGTGGGAACACTTTTTCTTACAATTTTTGTTTCTGAATCATCTGATCTTTTGTAATTTGTAACATGGATTTTAACTTTATAGGATTTAAAAAATGTTTCCCGAGAGGATTGTTCATTAGAGATACTTTGAGAGAACATCTAAGTGTATGTGTGTATGTATGCATAGAATGCTGTTTGTGTGAGTATATGAATATATATATGAAGTGGTTGCATTCTGCACTTAATATTTATGCTTCTAAAGCAGACAGTTGTGACAAATTAACAACTAAAATCTACAACATAAAAAATGTGAAAGCTACTAGACAGTGGATAAAGCTGTATGTGGAGAGTTGATTGTTTTGATCTGAGTTTTTGTTTCTGTTCTTTTTTTGCCTCAAGCTCATCTTAGTTTTATTATCAGATGATAAGCCCTAGGAATGAGAACTGAAATGCTTTAAAATTTAGTTTTCAATGTGGTAGGGGAACTTGATATTTTTATTTAACTTTTGTTCTCTTTTCCCTTTGCATCACCTAGTAATTTTCAGATCATATTAAAATCGTTTTGTCTTTCTTCCTCCTACAGGAGAAGAATTAGAATATGAATTTGATGAACAGGGACATAGCACATGGCTCTGCAGGGTGAGGTATGTTCCCTTCTCATTAATGTCCATTTCTGGAAAGTGTCCATCTTCGGGTTAAAATTACGGTTATAGACAACAATCCAAAGCATAACTTTAGTTTTAATTTTATGCTGTTCCTGGTTTTGGTCCTTGATAGTTCAGTAACACTTATGTTATTGGTGAGTAGGGTAGAATAAGTAAGAGATGGAAGGAAAAGATGTGAAATCCAACCTTGGCAAGAGAGAACACAATGAACTGAGATTGAAAAACCATCACAAAAAAACATGACTATTACCATAGCATATTAGTTTTTTTTTCAACGAGAATTGGAGCTTAATGCTGTGCTCTAATTCCCTCAAAACCAATGCAGATTACCTGTGGATGATTC